TATATATATATATATATATATATATATATATGTATATGACTAAATAAAAACTTGCTAAAGATCTGCTTGTACTTATTTAAAGAACATCACTGGAGTTTGGGAGGCCAAAGGGTTTATTTGTTTAGTCTTCCACGGAAGTTAGCCAATAAGACTCTCCACATTCTAAAATCAAGATCTCTGCTAGAATTAACTGTTTTAGGTTTCCTTTTACCCCTTCATTAATGAGTACATAGATGCTCAAAAATGCTTCCTAAATTGAACTGTGAGTTTTTACTGATGCAAAATAGCTTGGGATGCAGAGCATATGGTCACATTAGTCCATGCAATTAGAAGGCAACAGTGAAGCACCATCTATTGACATTTGGGTGACATCAAGCCTGCTATGATGGCTTGGGAATTTAAGATGAACATATAGATCTTCCTTAAAGCTTCTTCTCAGTAGAAGGAAAGATTAAAAAGATAGACAAGGCCATTATTAGCACCTATTTATTCTTTTTTACAGATGTTTCCACATCTACAATAGAATATAAACAGAAACTCAGAGAGTGTGCAAGTTTGGATTCCTCTGGTATTGGGGTACCCTGTTACCTTTAATGATAGTAATGCAGTCCTATACTTTATGCTCACAACAATAACCCTGAGTAATTAAAAAAAAATTCACTATGCTCTAATTAATAAGATAATTACTAGAAAAATTTCTATCTACAACCATGTTTTTTTTTCTAAAAAGTACTCATTTGAAGTTGTATGCTTGTCTGAAAAACTTGGCTGTCTAGTATGAAAGTTCTAAAAGTTAAATCTGTGCTTGAAGTTTCCAGAAGTTAACTGTGCTTCATATTCATCCTCCGTTGTTTGGTAATAATTTGTTAACAGCTAAATTACCATATTGGATACTGATAAGAATCTCATGTTTAAGCTTTCTTATTCCTCAATTGGGACTATACTCATGTGCATTCATCTGTCCTGCCCTTGGTATTTTAAAGGCCTTCTTTATTTTATATCAATCTGAAATCCTTCCTTATCCCCCTTATCCCAGGTTCTCAAAAGTTACAGCTTCCATGGAATCACTGTACACTGATAAACCTTTTTTAAAAAAACAGTCACCAGAACAAGAAGCATACACCAAAAAAAAAAAAAATTAGATTATGTTTTGAAATATTCGTAGAAACAAAATATCAGACATATTTATGTTTGGAATTAAGTCAGAGTCAAAGACCACTAGTCGAAAATCAAATTAAAATAATCCTTCTGTCCCCTATGCAGACATTGTGATGCCAGCGATGATTGGTAAAAAGTAAACTAAAACATTTCCATTTGAGAAACTAATGTGATATATGTTTACAAAAACTAGTTCTCCACTTACGGGTAAATTCTCCAGCCCTTCCTGTGTCTCCAGCTTTTGCTCACTATGTGCCCCCCAAAAAATGCAATTCAATTCTTTCTTTCAGAGTTCATAAAAATCAAGAGATAACAGTGGAAAATACCACAGTGTGGGTGGGATTCAAAAACTATGCTATATACATATTTTAAAGAAAATCATGTAATTTCAGGGCTTTATTTATCTAAAAAAAATTATAATTTTTACCCACAAACATACAATGGATTTCTAACAACAATAAAGATAATTATTCTTAATCACAGATTTTACTAGTCACATTGTTTCTTCCAGTCATTTTGATCCATAACACATAATGATAAGGTCAAAAACAAAAAAAGAAACAAAAACAATCTTAGATGCTTTATATAATGAGAAAGAAAACTCCATAAACTCTTCATAACACTCCCTAAAATTTACAATTTAACTTTCTCATTGCTGTCTGATGATACATTTCATAAATACTTTGGTCATATGAACGTAATAGAATGGACTATCTCTGCCTAGATTTAATTCCCAAAGACTACTTATTCAAACCTACAATTTTAAAAGTTTGGAAAAGGCAAATATTCTTAAATGATACATAGGCTGTAAAATACCAGGGATTATCAAAATACATCATCCAGTTTGGATTTATGATAGGAATGCAAGATCTTTACCTTCCCAAATCCTATTAGAAACAAAGCACATTCGCATTAAGCAAGGTGAGATAAGTGTTATTACGAAAGCCATTTTATGAAAAATGAAACTAAGTTGAAGCTCAGAGACACTGAGTAAACAAGTAAGAGCCCACAATCCAGTCCAGAATAATCCAATGCAGCCAACTTCTTCTGAACCCCATTTCCCTGTTCTTTGTGAAATGCCACACAATCTAGAGAAGTCCAGAAGAAACGACTTATTTTCCTGAGAATGTCGAAAATGTAGAAGGCCTCAAAAATATACCCACTGGTTGAGCCACTGGAGTATAAAACACAATAAATTCCAGTTCATGGATGAATATGAAGAGAGATGCTGCCTACAGAATAAAAAGAAAGAAGGCCAAACACAACTGTACATAAGAGAAAAATATTTTTGTTTTCCATATGAGGCACTTTAAAAAATAATGCATGCACGCGCGCACACACACCTGCATCACATCAGCTTTCTTTTCTTTACCATTTCAATTACAGTTGACATATAATATTATAATAGCTTCAGGTATACAAGATAGTGCTTAGACATTTATATAGGAAGGCTACTCCTTCCCTTCAAGGGGGTATCATTTGCCTGAGCTAGGATGCCTATAACTTTATAACATGATGTCAACCTTCATTAAGTGGGAAGTCCTGAACCTGTCTTTGTATTCTGTAAATCTAGATATAGCCAAACCAAGGAAGAGAACAAATTCCTGAAAAGAAATTACAGAAAAATACAGTGTATGAGTTAAAAAATATACCTGAAGAAATAATGTATTCAAAATTATGATCTGTGAATTGCCTGAGTAATTCTAGTAACCATTCATCCTCAAGTTTCAGTTAAAATGCCTGGACTATGGACTTCAATGAGTATGACTGAAATATTGGGTTGTCGGAGAAGCCATGACGCATTTTTCCAATGAAAAACACAGAAAAAATACGTCATGACTTTTCTGACAACCAAATAGCATAACTAAAGCTAAGGCCCAATCAAACACTAACCTGCATGAAGATACCGGTTAATGGAAGGAGTGTATTTTGTATGAAACCTGAAATAGAAGTTGATAAGCCAGAATTTAGTAACACCTTTCTAGGACCATCCAGGAGAAAGGCTTCCCTGACCTCCCCCCTCACTATTCAATCTTCATAGACATGAGTCCTTAGCGCAGATTGATGCATCAAGTCCTCCCTTGATGACAGTAGTCAGTTAGCTCATCCGATAACCGTGCCTGCTGATTTTTTTTATTAGCTTCCGATGTACAAAACAATGTACTAATTAGACATTTAAACCCCTCACAAAATGATAAACCCCCTCCCCCAATCTCCTACCCCTCTGACATCGTATATAGCTGTTTTAATTCCATTGACTCTGTTCCCTGTGCTGTACTCCACACCCTGTGACTATGTCAACCTTAATTAAATATATATATTGCCAGCTCTGATTTTATGGTCAACAAGTCACCTTCTGATTTTAAGATACTTTTTCATATAGTTATTAATACAGAACTGTGCTTAGTGGCCAACATGAATATTACAGTTTTCTTGGCCATAATAATTTTTATTCTCAATTGGCATTCCAAGACCTATACGAAACAGCCAGTTAGCCTCTGAAAATGACAACTCCGGTTTGTCTTTCTCTGCCTGGAAAATGAAAATTTCTTTAAACTTCAGTGCAACTCTGCAAGTATTTTTCAAGCAAATACTCTATGCCTAAGATCTAACTAACACTACCAAAGATACAATAAATATTAAAGACATATCCCCTTATTTCAAGAAGGCTGAATTTTACTAGGAAGACAAATTCATAGGAGTAACTAAATAGCAACATTGAATGGTATATGAAATAAGTATGTTGTGGGGAGAAGGAGCAATAACCTAAAAACAAAGTCAAAGTGATTCAGCTACAACAAAAAAAAAAAAAGAAAAGAAAGAAAGTACAATGGTTAGCTATTATCCCAACTTTTTTTTTTTTTCTTTTAGTAACTGGTTGTTTTCCATCAACCTTAAGACCACTCTGGTTGTTCCTACCCATTCAGTGGCCTGAGCAGTGGGGGGCTGCAGACCAGTCCTCAGTGGCTGGCTGCCTGCTCCAGCCTTCAGCAGGAAACTGCTGAATATGCACTGAGGGCCCCCCCACACACACCCCTTCAGACCCATCTGTGACCTCAAGTTGAGCAGCAGTGAGCTCAGGGACTGGAGCAATCCAGTTACCATGAAATTCCTCTTTGGTCACAGCCTTGTCAGCAGCAGCCTGATCTTCCTTTATAATCTCTTCAGGATTTCTGTATAAGTGGAGATCAGGTGTGACCTCTGGCAGGTGTTCACGGGACATGGTGCCACGCGTGCACAGAGCGTCCCAGGCTAGCATCCACCACATCAGACCCACTGGGTGAGCTCCCTCATTGTTGTATGGGAT